GAGAGAGAGAGAGAGAGAGGAGAGAAAGAAAGAGAGAAACAGAGTTTATTTTGCAATATTTTATATACATATTGTATTAAATACATAATAAACGTTTTATACAAAAATGCATTATATATAATTTTTTTAAATTACCTGATAAAATATACAACATAATATAAACTAAACAATGCATAAATTATATTTTTTACATTAAATTTATTATATGTATTTTCTATTTTATTATTAACAGAAACACCTTGTTCCTGCGACAAAATATATGTTGAGAAAACCGGGAGGATCAATCTATATGAAAGAACATCAACTTGATGTCAGATTAAAACATGTAACACAGTCGGTATTATCAGAAAACAACATTGAGACAGGTCACCAAATACTATTTTACAAAACGACTACAATAGCCATTACTACATCATATTTCCCAAAGAAGTACAGGAATGCTATAGAAATACAGAAACACTCCAACAATCTAAACAGAGACAATGGCTATAACAGAAGCTGGAAATCTATTCACCCAGTTTCCAAAGACTAGCAACTTCCCTCTCCCTTCTCCTTCCCTCTCTTCCCTCCCTCCACCAATACTTCTCTTTCCACATTTCTTTCCAATTGAATAGCATCTTTCAGAAGAGTAGCTCAGACTGATCGTCGACCTGATGAAGTAAATAGCATTGTTTACGAAACATTGGCATAACATCAGGATACGGAAAAAACTCGTAAACCTGTTAGCACTTCTATTAAAAATATAAAAACAATGTTTTATACAAAAATTTTACATTAAAATTACCTCTATTTATTTACGTTAATATGTAGTATTTTTAAAATTATTTAAAAAAATTTTTTTAGATATTTAGTTAAAAAATATTATTAACGTAAATAAATAAAGACAATTTTAGTGTAAAACTTTTGTATAAATAATAAAACGTTTTTTGATATTTTGAATAGTTTTCGAGATATAACAAAAAAGGTAAAATATCGCTTTAAAGGCTTATTTCAAAACCGCAAGAGTGATTTTCCGCAACTGATAGTTTTTGTAAATTCAACTGTTTATGTAATCTATGTATACTAAAATTTTATTTAAATCAGAACTTGACACTTTTGTTATAAAACTAATTGTATATTCACACATATCGGTTGAACATTGTTTTATTTTTTCCATGACAAATCATTTACACACTACTTGTGATAGATAGCACGGGGCGTTTTGTTTATAGTGGTTTCCCCAATAGGCTTAATTCACTCTCATTTTTTCATACATTCATATTACAGACGCGCGCTATTTAACATTTTTTACTTTTACTATAATTTGTTATTACATCAAATCAATCTCAATGCACACAACTGTCAAAATATGCAATGACAGCTTAACGAAATAAGTATAGTGCGACAACCAATTAGCATCACGAAAAAGTGTCAACAGTACTTCGAGGATCATGATTTTGACAACACATGTCAAGATCAAGGCCATTAAAAGCCATTAATAGTTGTTGTTTTTATTTTCATTTTTGAAAATTATTTATATTTAAAAAAAAGAAACAATCTCCAATGATCTTTACGTGTTTTATCAAGGTCATGATTCTGAAAAACATTTAAAAGGTTTTAAGTCAGTGTTCGGACACTTTAGATAATGCCAACGGTACTGCAAATTTTTAAGCTTCATAACTCAAGATTTACTTAATTAAAAAATATTTTATCTATGTTTCGGAAAGCTCTCGAGGTAAGCTATAAGAATATATGCAATAAAAAATAAAGGGTTTCATTAAAAAAATTTGAAGTGACATTTTCCCGACCTCAACAACGCCACCCAAGGTTAAACCAGTGATATCATTATGTCTCCTTTGAAGTCAAACAACTTTTGTTTTAAACATTTTTTTATATCTAAAGCCATTTCCGAGATATTAGGCCTGGGTGAGACTTTATAGACACCCTGTACTTAAAATAAAATTATTTTAAATATTATAATTCAAAAATTATTCAAGATAAAAATGTTATATTATATCTTAAAAATTATTCAAAGGAAGGACATTTCGAATAATTTATGTATTAAAAAGTGAGAGTGAATTAGGCCCATTTGGGAAACCATTATCAATAAAACGCACCGTGCTATCTACCGAAACGTGATGTGAAACTGATAACGTTTTGTCACGGAAAAAAAAACAATGTTCGACTGATATGTGTGAATATACAATTAGTTTTATAACTAGTTTTAGTTAGTTATAACAAAAGCGTCAAGTTCTGATTTTAATGAAATTTTGTGTACACATAGATTACGTAAACAGATGAATTTACAAAATATCAATTGCGGTGGAAAAATAGTTTTGAAATTTCTCTTTATAATAAAGCGATATTTAACTTTTCTCGAAAACTATTCAAGATATCAAAAAATGTTTTATACAAAAGTTTTACAGTAAATCTCTATTATCTCTATTTTCTTTATTTATGTTAATAATACTATTTAAAAATAAAACGTTATTGTAAATAATTTTTTTAGAAAACAATTATTTTATTAAAATACTATTAACGTAAATAAATAAAAGTAATTTTACTGTAAAATTTTTGTATAAAACAACTTTTTTATATCTTGAATAATTTTTGAGATATGACAAAAAAATCTAAAAACTACTTTACATATAAGGGATTATTTCACTCCTTTAAACCGGTTTTTAGCACCAACTCATATTTTCTAAATTCATCTATTTGTTTAACCTATAAGTATACATATATTGTTTTATTAAAATCAGAATTTAACACTTTGCGAGGTTTCCTTGTTAGTTTCAGAATTTATTTTTTTCTTCCTATTATTTGTTGTATATATTCATATATCGACTTTGTTTGAAATTATTGTTGATTAAAATGTTATTAACAGATAAAATAGAGCATCCAAATGTTACATCTAGACTTTAGAATAATTTTTTTTATTTAAAACTAAAGGATAAGTATAAGCAAGTATAAGTATAAGCATTTATGAAGGGGGGACCTCGTGTAAATGGCCGTTTTTTCAAGATTTTTTTTTAATGACAAAATTGATTAAATCTAGACTAAGTACATGATAATATTCACTATTTAAGCTAATTAAAAAAATTTTGTTTGTGTTGAAAACTTTCAAAATGGCGGCACAGCAGCTGCTTGAAGTTGGCTTCTTAAATTTGTGCCGGGCAACGCCGAGGTCACAAAATTAATCTAAAACAAAAATTTCAAGAAAATTTCGTTAGT